TTATTATACAACCCCAAGTGGAGAAGTGTTGCTGCGAAAGGTTCCCTACTCGGCAGAAACGGTCAAACCACATGAAGTCAATCCTGTCCTCTCTTTTGAACTTGGAACGGGTTGTTTGTTGCTAGTTTGCTTTGCATGTTCTGCCTCATGTACCATGAGGCTGGGAGCTATCATTGCTCTTCTTGAACGCCGCATAACTCACAAATCAGCAGCAACAGTCATGCTAAGATCTAGATGTCTCAGTGTGCCTACTTACAGTAATCCCCGATTATCTAATAAGTTTCATGTTCCCATAACCCCACACAACCCCTATGTAGCTCTATGTAAGCCCTCTATTTGCCTTTAAAGAAAGCCCCATGTCAATCTAACTCCAACCAAGCCGCCGAGGTGTATCTGCCGCCCAGCCGGGTTTGCACTGAGAGGGCCTCTAGGCATCGCTCAGTTGAGATTTCTGTCATTCTTATTGTTATGATTACTATCAGTATTGCTATGTGCTTCATGTTACTTTATGATTAGTATCATTACGTATCAGTATTGCGATCATTGAAGCAACTGTTTCTCGTAGTACTGCTGATTAGGCACGCGTAATCTCTCGAAGGCATCTTACAGGTGGATGCCTTTGTCTCTGTACAGGCTGCTGTGTTTGAGGGAGGTCGTCCAGAAGCAATAGCAGAGTGCAGGCATAGGGACTTCTGCGCCCAACTCGCCCGTGTGCTGCGAGACAGCTTCTCGGACCTCATGCAAAGGGCATATGCTCCAAACTTCCCGCCCAGTTCTCATCTTCGCTGTTGGCCAAGGTCAGTGAATGGAAACGAGGTACATGGATGACTGAGCAGAGGATCTTGCGACTTCAAACGATACTGCCTCTTGAGCGTCATAAATCCATGTCAAAACAGGGCCCTTTGGCAAGCCCCAAACCCCTGAACCCCAAACCCACCACAAAACAGCCAGGTATCACTCTGCAGGAAGTGCTCCCGGTCGGCATCGGTCTTTGTCTTGCCAACCACCTGCGCTTTCTCTATATGACTTTTTTTTTTAAAAAAAAAGCTAGCCCTCATGTGTGTTTCAGAGTGAAAGCAGTTGGGCTGCCAGCACTGCACGCAGAGTTGTGACACACTAGGGCCATTGGGGGCCCTGAGACGTACCAAGGGTATGCTGCAATGCGCCGCCTGCCATTCCTGCTCAGTCGGGAAGGACGTCAGAGCCCCTGTGAGCCTGAGACTTGTCGCTGCAATGGCTTTCACGGGTGTGAACCTACATGCATTCGGCGAGTCCTTGAGTACGCAATCTGACCTGTCAGATCCCTGCTGCACATATCAACAAATTACGGCAAACATGCTAGTCATAATGCTGTTTCTGGCCAGGTGCGCCCCCACGCCCTGCTCGGTGTCTGGGACACCCTGGGCAGGCGGCTTTCCCTCAAGACCCAGCACGGCGTTTGACTCCTTGGCAAGCCTTCCTGCTCAAGCCTCACTCCCGACAAAATTCTACCCTACGGAACATGAGCCTACAAATCTGCCCCTGAACTGTCAGTCCTTGCTTGTCCAGTCACTTCATTCTCGTTGTGCATCAGCCAACCAAGAAAGGTGAGCTGACAAAACACGAATAGCAGTAAGCTCTGGAAGCGCTGTGCGTCAAGCCATGCTCAACAGCGCTAGCCTATCAGCTCCAACGTCCAGGAGCTGTGTTTGGACGTGTTTGGCTTCTTGAAGGCTAAGCATGCAAACTTTTGCTGCCCGAGCTTTGATTTTCATTTCACGGCAGCCTCCTCTGCGCGACATGCTTCAGAATAGGAATAAGGCAAAGGAACGGGAGTGTGATGAGCACCCAGGCCGTCCTGAGCCATTGTTGTGGTCCCCTTCTCCCAGCCACCGGCAGAAAATCAACAAATACCAACTGGTGGCGGATAAGCCTAAATAGTCAACCCTCTGTTGATGCCGCATCAACATCAGGCCCAAGCCTAAACACTGCAGGTACTGACCGCAGGCCTCCGGCGCTTTGTAGAGTCCCTGGTGCGCCCTGGCAGAAAAGCTTACAGAGTTCGGGACTTTGGGTCCAAATGCTGGGCAGCGCATGCGCATGTACATCTGGGACCGGTGCATTGATTTTCCAGCCCTGAAACAGACATAGAAAGACCATTGGCAATGAGCACAGGACCGAACAACTTGATTGACACTTGCTAGCCCCCAACTTTCCAAGTCTGATCAAGTAGAACAGCCTGACGCATAGGGGCCATATTGGATGACTGTACAAAGGGGTCTGGGCTTGGTTGTGCAAACAGGCTGGTCATATCATCCCTCAAGACCATACCTTGCAAGTTCCGGTGATCGTGCAGAAGTATGGTGATGCAAACTACTGTACTGCGATTACTCGGATATTTTGTTGTCGGAAAGCAAGCGTGTCCTCTATGCAGCCGAATGACGGGAACAACAGTCACTCAACAACTAAGAAAAGGCTTATTACATTACAGCACGCGTCGGGTGGCCTGGTCACCATGTTGACCCTTTCCAGAACGTCTGCGGCGACCGCCTCGCCCTGGCAGCAAGTTAAGGCGAGAATTGACGGCAAGGCGCCATGAAAGCCCACTGGTCTTCCTCAACAACTCTCAGTTCACTACATGTATGCAGTGTTGCTGTTAAAGTAATCCGCGTCTGTAGTCTGCTACACCAAAGTCTGGAGCAGCTTGACTGTACTGACGTTGCGAGGTCTACAGAATATTTCGGAGGTGTAGAGGAGCAATCGCGATACCCTTCATGTCTTTCAGATTTACCATGTGTTGCAATGCAAGAGAGTTTTTTGAAGGAAAGCATTGCAAGTGACGATCCTGGATTTGAACGCCTTATCCAGCAGACATGTTACAGGATACATCGCCTCCTCACAAATTAGAAAAGGGTGTTGTTAGCACCACCCCCCGACGCAAAAGTAGTAGCGACAGCAGCTATTGCAACTACTAAAAAAGAGATTGGATTCGCATCATGCACCAATTTACCAGGGTTGAGAGACAAGCAAGAAAGAAGATGACGGGGTAGAGTCTTCTGGAAAGGGTCAGCATGGGTCAGCGTAATCATATTAGGGTGGGCCACACAAGGCGGACCTCTTCTTTGTCTCCGCTGACAAAGAAATACTCCACGTCGTCCACAACCTGGGAGTGTGGTTCATTGAAGCGGCTAAAGCAAACAGGCGTCTGCTGGGAACACTGTGCCGAAGCTCCTGATCTTCTCTGAACCCGGAACTTTATTTTCGTGAGGGCTCGGCTGCATCTCCTGGGCTGCTTCCTTGGTCGCTTGCTTCCTGCAGCGGACGCTGGTCTAAATCCGAAATATGACTCAATGGCAGTAGCAGTCTCGTCATGAATGACCAGGAGTCGAACTATGCAGTTTGTCGGGCTTCATTGTTTACTTACGTTTTTGCTGACTGAAGATGGGATAAAACGCCCGTCCTGCTGCTGAAGGCGCTGTTTCAACGATGCACTCTGTAAGACTTAAGGTGCATGGCAGAGTTGCTTTCCGCAACTCCCTTGGCCTTACTTCCTGAGGGCTGATTGTACAATGTCGAATGCCGGTCAGCATAGCGGGTTCTGAATTGTTCAACATCCCTTTGGTTCGTTCGGGGGGGCTAATCCGTGCGAAGTTGTGCGGCCGAAAATACTTGTTGATAGGTATCAGGTAAGCCAAGTTCTAATCTGCTGAGCCATGGGACTAGGGTCCTCGTGCAAAGTTTCCAAGATATCAAGCCTCAGGACCTCAGGTTTCAAGCCAGGTCCAAAACTGTCTATTTCTCGCTTATTCGTTGAGGCCCAGCAATCATTGTAAGGGAGAAGTCCAGCCGCTGCCCAGGTCCTCAATCATCAATGTTTTGGGGGGTGCTGATTTGTCCGTAATCTTTAATCTCCCTAGAAATTGGTTGCCAAAAGGAAAAGACCTTGACTTTTCAAGGCTCACTACCCCCTCCCATTGAATTTGATTAGCACATCCAGGTCGTAGCTTTGGATTACAATGAATGGGAGGAGTTTTGCGGAGCTCAATAGCTTTCTTCAATACAAGCACATGCGAACCTCTGGCTCAGCTGCGCAGCAGAGGCCAGATGGACGCTGCCTGCTCACGCGTCACCGAGCTTTTGGGGCTTTCTGTCCAGGCCAATGAGATTGTGTCCCAGATATGCGCAGCGTGCTCCAACTAAACTCACAACATGGGCTGCCTTGCTCACCGGTCCTCATAGAAAACTGGTTTAGCTCCACAGGGCTTCTCTGGCGCTCAGCCCGTACAGCAGCAGAGCCTCACGCCTCAGGGAAGGGGGACCTCTCACTCTGCGAGTCTGACACACAGCGCCAGCGGCGACTAGCGCCACCGCGGGAGGGCTGCCCCATGACCTGACAAGGCCAGATGTCGAGCCCTCACTGGGCTTCAAGAGCAGGTCCAGAATCTGAAGGTTAACCGCATGTCTGTGCTGGCTTGCTGGCTATGAAGATTTTGGGTGCGCAGTCCCGACGCAGGTAGTGAGCAACTTGATGAAACTTTCGGATCTGCTGCTCGAGACTGTAATAAGGCGCTCTGCGGCAGTAGAGCTGAACCCCCTTCCGCCCATAGACGCGTAAGGGAGCGGGCGGTGTTCTTTATCTTGCTTGGGGATCTAGGATTTCCCGCAGCCTCAGGAACCCTCTCAGGAGGCAGGTCGTGGCCTAAATGCTCCATGTCCACATGCGCAAATTCTTCCAATTCACATAATGTACATATACAGCACGCACACATATCCACCAAGCGCACCAAACAACTTAACAACCACTAGTTCGTCCTAAACCTAAAAAATGGGCCCTCTTTTCAAAAGCTCTTCTGCTACCCAAGTACCGTTTTCCCGCGGAGCCAAGGGCGCCGCGGCACGGTGCTTGCGCAAGCACGGGTGCCCTGGCAAAAGCGCTATGCGAGCTTTAAGCCTTGGGGTGGGGGTTGGTCAAGACAATACTGTGGATAGCAGTATTAGTTGCCATGATTTGGTAGCCATAGTACTGTGGCAATAGACTTGGTGTTCGTAACTTCCCATGGTCTGATCCTCCCTGGTTACTGATGCTGACACCTGTCTTTCCAGAATCGGAATGAGGTCCCTGTAAGTGTCAGAAGCGCTTCTGCAGCATGGAGAGCAGAATGCACCGAGGAAAGGACTGGGAAACACGTCCTGTACAACTTGCATACTACCTTCTAGCCTGCAGCCTGTAGACTGCACAGCCGAACCTTCAGGCCTTGTCGCGGCGGCTGCGGTTGAAGAAGCCGGAAGGGGCTCCATGGCTTTAGGATTTCTCGAGGAGGTATCGGCCCAAGAAGGGATGTGTAGAGGGGCTTTGGGGGTTTCCAGTGAAGGGTTGACCTTGGGCTGAAAACATGCCAATTGCTGGATATGAGCCGACAAACCGTCATCGTGTCTCCACTAGCGGAGCTTACCCAAACTCATCTATCACTGGCTCTCACGCAATGTATATGGGTGGGGACAACGGAATCTCGTATAGTAATGGTCTTGTCCACGCAAACGCTTGCGCTGAAGCTGCGGCATCCACTGTTTGACGCGCAAAAAGATCCCTTCGACAGTCTTCAACCTTGTCTATTAAGACCCCAACCTGCGCACTACAGCGTCAGCTCCTCACAAATTACTAGTTTGCGCAGCTCCAGTGACTCAAGCTGATTCTGTAACCTGGCAACCTGAAGATCATCAGGCACGGGTATCCTTTTTACCCTCAGCCAACGTTACAAGCTTACACTTACAACAAATTCTGCACAAACGCGTTTGGGGCAAAGGGCCGGCCTGTCTTCAGAGGGGCTACGGTCGAACGTGCCGCGCTGTGAGGAGGATGAACCAGCCTTGCGCTTGTGGGCGTCTTACTTCTATGCAAACAGGACGTACTAAGGATCACACTATTTGAGGGGGATATCTTGGCGCCCTTGAACTCTCCTCACTCAGGAATTATTTCCCGGCTTGAGGTTTGAAGCTGTTGAAGCCCTCCAAACAAATTTTCTATCAAAACGAACGGCCCCAGGCGTGGGGTAAAGAAGCTATTCGACTTCAAAATACTTATGACGTTTTATCTAGTCCTTCACTCTTCCAGATGCATGTGGCCTCCTGGACACTGGATGCACAACCTCAGCAGATTTGATTGATATCTTGAAAAGCTAGGGCTGGAGTTCCTTAAAGCCTTAGCCGCAGCGTCTACACCAACAATATCTCTCCAGTATCGCTTGTCTCTCAGAACAACCCTCTTCCCCATCTTCCCCCTAAACTAAATGCCCAGGAAGGCCCCAAGTAAGCTCGAGCCAAACAATGTAGAATCAACAAAACTGTTCCTGGATCTGATTCCCCACAACTCAAACTCCTCTTACACGCCTCCAGAACAAAATGTCTGTCTTTGGGGATGCAATTCTTAACGGTACCTGGTTCTGTGCCCATGAACATCCCCCAGTTTTCTGTTCTAAAACGCTCCAGAGCAAGCTTTTTAAACGTCATTCGCCAACCACACCCCAGGAGGTGGCCTGTGAGAGACGGCCCCTTGCCTGCACCTGGAAGACCACTTTGGGGTTTTCTTTAAATTTGGACATAGGGTTATCCAGGGTTATGCATGGCTATATGGGGGTATATAGTATATAGGGGACCATGTTGGGGAGGATGTTATAGGGGATATGGGGCCCAAGAATGGAGAATCACATGGAAAAGAAATGGACAATTCTATGGAAACTGAGGCTATGTAGGGTTTAGGGTTTCCCAAAATTAGGGGTGGTGGTCATAAGGATTGTAGTATATGGGGACGGTCTGGGTGCAAACAATGACTACATGATGCACGAGTCTTGGCTGGAATCACGTAGGATGTTGAAGAAGCCTGACTGCACTCTGCTTCGATAACGCGATAACGCCTAAGTGAAAATATCATTGAGTATGCAGTCTCTCTGGTTGCTGCCTGGCTATGCTCATGCCATGCCCAAATTCGGTGCCTCTTGAAAAGAAACCTTTGCTGCACAAGACGGAGCCTTGCGGGGAGCTGTAGACAACTCTGTGACGATCTCCTGGCAGCACAGAGACGGATTGTGAAGCCACTACAGTTGTGCTCAAGGTCTTTCGACCCCAACCAACCCTCCAATGTAAGCGGCCTTTACAGCCAATCTCCCATTTAGTGATGCTCTCTTGCCCACGTCTAACCAGTTGTTAAGTAGAACTCAGGGCTCGCTGAATCCATTTTTCGGCCTGAGACTGCACTGTACTGTTTATGGAGGGACCAAAGCCGCTCAACAGTGGAGCTAAACATGACCCATACTCCCTTTCCGGACTGTGATTGAAGGCTACAGCATTCGCCCTTAAAGAAGATGCGCCCTCATTACCTACTCTGTCGTTGTACTTGCGCGTGTACCGTGAATCGTCAACAGTGATCTTGGATGTCGTGCATCCTGCTTGCCACGTCTCATCGAATCTGCGTCTACGATGGTTCAATCCTCGAGGACAAAATTGGCACTGCAAGCAAGGCGATCCGGGCGAGATCCATCAGACAAAGGAAAGGTCTTCGCGACACCCCAGTCAACTTAGAAATCACCTTGCGCGAAGTGCTTATCACAAATTACAAGCTCCCCGCAGAACCCTGACGAGAAATCATACCGTTGTCATGGCAGCTGGGATTCAGCATCCCGAAAAAATGCGGAACATTCAAGGTCCTCATACTCGCTCTCTCTCTCTCTCTCTCTGTGTCTTTCTATATATCTACCTATATATATTATAATATGTATATACATGTATCTTATACACACTCACACTGGGAGGACTTGGACAAGTATAGCACTGCCCCGTAGCAGCCCAATCTACTTGGGTTCCGTACCTCTCAAGTCGTTGTGGGTGAAAGGTTTCTCAAGGCCTGCAAAGATCTCTTCGCGCGCTGGGCCATGGCTGGCAGTGAGTCCCTCTAAGTTGCCAATCAGAGGCTACTACAACTATCATGGTGATACGATCAAATCTTCTGTCATCTGCAATTGCTGCTGCTGCGGATTCTACCACCACCACCACTGCAGCCGCTGCTACTGGACACTAGTGTCCTTGCCTTCTGAGGCGATGCGGGGTGGCTTACAGGCTGCAGTTTCCTGGCCTTAAGTCCGTGGTTTGCCCCGGCTACGTTTCTTTGCAACGGCAAAGAGCCTATCAGCACGCGGCGGCCAATTCGCAGGAGAGCAAAAAGCGTGCAATGGATAACCACCTCAGCTTCAAGTCACACGAGGCTGTTTCAAAACGCTTCTTAGAAGCTGACAGTTTGTCACACCTGCTATTCTCAGGACGGTATGGATCAAGACATACCTGCAAAAATGCCCCGACGTGCTGGACTAAACTGCCTTATCTATTCGTATATTGCTTAGCTTGAGCAACCCATGGTAATCAATGAGATCAACACTTGAAGCCAGTGGGAGGCGGCTCCTGGCTCATCACTTCAGCCTGTCAGAAGGATTGGCATCACATGGAGACCCAAAGCTGAGGGTCTCCTACAGTAAAGGCACTTCTCAGAAATTTCAGAGGTCCAGCAAAGCAGTATGCATCTCTGCAGCAAACGTCTTGTGGCCTGATGAAGGGTAACGGTGCTGTGAGATAACTGGATTTGATGTAATTATGGGTCAAGCAATCTGCATGCCCCTGGGTCTGAAAATGTCTGGAAACTTCGTGCCTTGTCGGCATTTCAAATGACTCAAAGACTGCACTCGGAAAGCCCACCACGTTTTGCGACCGTCCCTTTGACGCATGCTTGGGCTACCGACAATGAGACCCACATGAAACGGATACCTTTCCTTCAGCTGCTTAGTTTACAGTTTATGGGCTCTCGCACACGCACACACACACAGTGCACGAGCAATGGCTGTCCTGCCTGGGAACAGCTACAGTCAACGCATGCGTTACCTTGACTATGTGCAGTTATGCTGCATACTACTCGAACAACTATTCTGAATATGGTCACTTTGAGCACCAACTGCTACTTGCAAGTGGTGGTTGCCAAGTATACGCTGTGCAGCTTCTAGGCTTTCTTGCGTCCGTACAGGGTGTTTTCTGTTCTGAGGCACCCAAATGTTTCACATCTCTTCCCTGAATTTGAGCCAGTTCATGAGGTTGGAGACATTCATTACTAGACCTGCCCAAGAACTGGAAAAAAGTGTCCAGCCCTCAACAGGCGTCCGTAAATTCCAGTCTACAACCATCAACCACACTAAGACAGGTCCTGTAGAATAAGACTGGGGAGTTTAGCAGACCCGCCAGTAGGCATGCTGACTCAGGCATGATTTCATGTCATTTAGCTGCTCAACCCTGCTCATACTCTGCGACGATGCAAACGCGAAGGAGCACATGCTTCTGAGCCACTCATAGGAGGCATGATCTGAACCCTGCCCTATAACCGTTCGCATGCTCAGATCAAAGATCCCTGGAAAAGAGTACATACCACTGGACCCTGAGCCAATAATTGAAGCTCCTGCTCCTGGCAAGCCAACTGGCTATGGGTCAAAGAGACAAAACGATGGTCAAATGTATTTCCTATCTAGATACGTAGCTTGATAGTAGGATCTAAGGAGCCACAGACAGGGCACTGAGCTTCTGACCCATCCAATATTATGTTTTTTGCTCATTCGCCCAAGTCGAACGAGGCCCTATGCGTCATTCAGCGGGAGGCTCCCATGTCCAAGGTACCAACAAGCGATACGTATAACAAAAACCAACAAACACCAGAGATAGCATGCGCCACAGCTGCTTCTACAAGGAATGCCGACATAATTACCATTCTTAATCAAGCTGCTGGCCACGAAGTGGATCCGGCTGACACCGTCTTGCCCTACTCCAACTAGCCGCAAACCTCATGGTTGTGGGCGCAAGTTTTCAAGCTAGGGTCCCAGTACGTTACGTGCCAACAACTACCCAGTCAGGCGAACAGAGCATCGTGCAACTTGAATGACAAGATGCTTACTAAGCTGTTACGATACGGATAGGATACATTCCACAGGCTCCCCCTAGTGTATCTGATACTAAATGTGACCATGATTGCGGCCTGTAGCCAAGCCCCATATACTCCCAAGTTACCCTTCAAACGGGGCCTCACGCCCAGTAGGCCACAATCAAAACTGTTTACTGGTCCGGCACAGACCTTGGACAACGACAGAGATGTGTCGACTGCAAAGTTTCCTTGTCTCCACCCACTGACATCTTGACATCTCGGAGCCACCGCTTGACCCCTCCCCTGCCGCAGCAATTTGGACAGACCCTCTCCGAGCCAAGAGCAACAGTGGCCC